ACCTACATCTGCTACCTCAGCCACCACATCCACCTCCTCCGCTCCCCTCGCTTCCGCCACTTCCGCTTCCGTCACCACTCCTGCCTCGATCCCCGTCGTAACGGTGACCTTCACCAGCACCGACCCCAACGGAGCACTCATCACCGGCATTTCCACTTCCGCCCACCCTTCCGCTACCGCTGCCCGTGGTTCATCCTCCGGCGGTGGAGGATCCGACACCAACCTCGGTGCCATCATCGGTGGTGTAGCTGGTGGTGTAGCCGGACTTATCATCCTCATCTGGCTCATCCTCCTTCCTTTGCGCAAACGAGCAAAGAAGCAGAAACAAGTCGAATGGCTCTCTTTCGGTCAAGAGAACGATCATGTCAACGAGAACTCTGCTGAAGCTGTCTACGGTCGCGGTGCAGGAGTGGCGGGTAGTGGAGAGGGTAAAGGTGGAAGTGTAGCAAACGTGAACGAGATTCAGATGGATGAGATGGATCAACAGCCTCCGTATCACTATCATAACGTCGATCAGGGTGCCGGCTGGGGCGTTGCTGGTGCTGGTGGTGGTGCTGGTGCTGGTGGTGGTGGTGGTGGTGGTGGTGGTGGTGCTGCTGCTGCTGCTGGTGGCTATGCTGCCCATGATCAGTACGCTCAGCATGGTGCCGAGGGTTATGACGCCTACTACGCCCAACAGCAACAGCAGGCAGCTTATGGCGGACAGTATGGTCAGTACGCAATGCAACCCCAGCATCAAGCTTGGGCAGCTCACCCACAGGGAGAAGCTTGGGGTGCTGCTCCCGGATACACTTCCCCAGGTCAATCCCAAGCGCATGGCAATCCGGGTCTCTCTCATAGTCTTTCTGTAGGCTCTACCCGCGTTGGTGCTGCAAGTGGAAGCCAATCCGGCCACAAAGCTGGATCGCAAGAAGGTCATAGTCAATACGGCGGTGGAGGAGGAGGATATCAAAGCCCATCTTTGGGCGCAACTTCGCCACAACAGTATGCACAGCATTACCAGGGAACTCACTCTTCGCCGCAGCAACATCCACAGTATTACCAGGGTCACCCCGAGCAGCAGGGTCAGTATGGAGGATATGCGGATCAGCAGCAGCAGCAGCAGGGAGATGCAAGATCGGGTTCACCAGATAGCACGACTCAGGGCCGAGGTAGATCGGGCAATGCTGCTGGTTTGCACCTTGCTAATCCCTAAGCTCACCTCGACATAGATTACGATTGCATTGCCTTTGGCGGTTGTGGTTTCCTTTTTGCTTTATACATCCATCCTTGGTCATCGTCTCTTGCATGTTGCATTCCTCACATTCATTGGTTCTTGATTTCAATCCCATCACTGTCGTTCTTTGCAAATCCTTGACGGATTTTGGGTGAAAGATCGTATCCTACGTGCAGTAAGGATTGAGATTGCATGCTGTTGTTCGTTGTTGCCAGGTACAAGTACAAGTGAGGGGTTAGGTTGGTCTCGCTTTCATGGACGGAGCTAGTGTAGTTTTTTTTTTGTTGGACGGGACTATCAATCTCGTTCCAAATCTATTCAAAGCAAATGTCGAAAGAGTAAAGGTGTCAGTATCATCTCCAACCCTTCTCTTCTATCGCTCATCCTTTTTGGGGTAAGAGGCAAGGGGTTTACCTACTGATGTTGTCACCGAACTTGGCATAGAGTTTCACCTTCAACCCTTTCATCTCTTCTTCATACTGCTCCAGTTTGCCTTCCAATTCCTTTACCTCTTCTCCCACTGCCTCTTTATCCTTGTCCAGCCTCTCCATTGCTTGTTCGTGCTGTAAGCTTACAAATGCATCTCCAACTTTATACATGACGGGTTCATCTTCATCTGCCAATTCCAACTCCATACTTAAATCCTCGAGTGATTCAAGTTGTTCCTTTTTGAGAGAGAGATCATGTTCGATGTCGGAATAGGTCGAGTTGAGACGGGAGAAGGAATTGATGGCTTGTTGATCGATCCATGTTACTTCTATTTCGTTCTGATCTTGTTCGTTGAGCTGTCAGCAAGCAATGGGTGGGTTGAGATAGGTGCAGATTTGGCGAATGCGATGGGATGAGAGGATCAAGAGTTGAAAGCGGTAAGATTGACAGGCGAGGTTGCACAGAGAAAGGTAAGGACGAAGAGAGTGTGTTTAGTAGCAGCTAAAGAAGCGATGCCAGAGGAGGAAGAGATGGACCTACCATACGCATCTTGACAAATCTAGCCCGGCGTAAGGGTGACGATGACGGTGATTGTAGTGTAATGGTTGATGTGGAGACGACGATGGTGAGAAGAAGGGTTGGAAGATCTGAGCGCTATCCGACGTGAAAAATCTAACATCCCTAACTCAAAGCGCTTTTAATCGGGAACCGCGCTGCAACCCTGCAGGGACCAACACTTTCCACCTTCCACTTTCCACACACGGACCCTTCTTTCTCTCCTCCAACCCCTCTCCACCCTATCACCATCGATCGACTGACACTTGATTCACCCCTTCCCACCACCCCGCCTACCGCCTACCGTTTAACGCTCACGCCTTCGGCTTCGGCATGTAGCAGCACCCCCCTTCGCCGTCACCTCTGCATCCAACATCCACTCGTTTCAACCATGCTTCTGTGGCTCGTCCTACTCGCATTCTGTGCAGCACTGCTCCCACTTATAGCGTTGCTGTGTCTGTGTATCTACATCTCAGCCTATCGCTCCACCTCCCGTACCACCCGATCGCAATGCTTAGGTCGAAGCGCAGCGGTAGTTGTACTCGGCGACATCGGTCGATCCCCTCGAATGTGTTTTCACGTCGAATCACTAGCAAATGAAGGTTGGAAAGTAGCTATCATAGGCTACCCCGAATCCTCCCTTCCCCCCGCCCTCCACCGCCCTTCCATCCGGCAACACCATCTTCGATCCCCACCCTCGTTTATCTCTCGTCTCCCACGGAAACTTTTCATCCTCGCAGCACCAGTCAAGCTTCTGATTCAATCTGTCTCGCTCTTTTTAGAGCTAACTATGCAAGTTCATCCCCCACCAGAGCTGGTACTAGTGCAAACCCCGCCAGCATTGCCGACACTGTTGGTGGTGAAAGCAGCAGCAGCACTGGTCAAAGCGAGGGTGGTAATTGATTGGCATAATCTAGCGTACACCATTCTAGCCCTAAGATTGGGGGAGAAGAGTAAAGTGGTGAGGTTGGCGGAGAAATTCGAGAGATGGAGTGGGAGAACAGCATATGCGCACTTGTTTGTTTCTGAGGCGATGAGGAACCATTTAGATCTCAAATGGGGGTTGGTTGGTGAGAAAAAGGTGTTGCATGATAGACCGCCGAGTCATTTCCGTAGAGCGGAGCTGGGAGAAACACATAGCCTCATGTCTAGGTTGATACCGACACTGCAGCCTGGGTTAGGAGAGGCGTGGTTACCAGAATACCACCTTCCCGAGAGTACACCTTTCACGCGGGAGAAGAAGGAAGCAGAGGGTGGATGGGAGAAGAGAGAAGACAGACCAGCTCTGGTAGTAAGCAGTACTTCCTGGACTGCAGATGAAGATTTTGGCCTTCTACTACGAGCTGCTAGGTTGTACGAGTACCGAGCAAGGGTGTTGAACGATCAGAAAGCTGGGGTTGGGGGTCATTCGAGAAGTAGTACTGGTGAAAATATATCTTCTTCTCTCTCACCCTCCTCCACCTCGCATTTCTCCTATCCTCCATCCCCTACCTACGAAGTGGGAGTCCGCACCTCGAAAGAACGTCGTCGTCCGTCATCCGGCCTTGTCCCCTCAACTCCCCACCTTCCCAACTATCCGGCCACAACCCTCCCCCGTCTCTTGATCATCGTTACTGGTAAAGGCGAGCTTCGCGCACGCTACCTTTCCGAAATCGCCCATCTCGAACAAACCGAAAAATGGCGGTTTGTACGCATTCGGACAGCTTGGCTCGAATCTTCTGATTACCCCCTACTCCTCGGATCCGCCGAGCTGGGTGTATCGTTGCATACAAGTAGCAGTGGCTTAGATTTGCCGATGAAGGTAGTTGACATGTTGGGATGTGGATTGCCTGTATGTGCACTGGATTTTGCATGTTTGGATGAACTGGTGCGGGAGAGGTCCAATGGGGTGGGTTTCAGGGATGCGGAAGGTTTGGTCAAGGTTTGGGAGAGTTTATTAGGCAGGTGGCCGGAAAGGGATTGGTTGAGAGATGGTGGGGGGTTGGAGTGTCCTTTTGATCCGCCTACCTCCAACAGTACTCCGAGAACGGGGTTACTCGAAGTGACAAGAGCAGCAGGGGGAGGGGGGGGAGTGGGAGGTGTGCCAATGTCCCCCAACCCAAGTATGACTCTTCTCCACTCGCCCGGGCTTGCACCGAGCACCAACGGCTTTTTCGAAGCGGGAAAAAGGCAGAGGAGTAGAAGATCGACTTGGAGTGGGAACTGGAAACACGTTATGCGACCTCTTCTCGATCCACGAACTACTACTGACGATCAAGAGGAGGGCGAGATAGACTCATACCTGAATCCGACGCGGTCGCGCAGTTCTGCGTTGGAGTTCCCCGGGCTGGCTAATGGGGGAAGGCTTTTACAGCGTCGAACCAAGGGATATGCTCCTGTGCCGTCGAAGTATGTAGTGCGCAAGGATACTCTAGAGGATGATGATGCGGACGAGTCTCAAGCTAGTGCCGGGTTCAAATTCATCCCTCAACCAGCCCTAATCTCAGAGGGAGAGTCTCAAAAAGGTCTACGTCAACGAAAGTCTGTTTCTCAAACTGCTCCCACCACTGGTGATGATTTGATCGACCTTAATAACTCCATCGAAGCCCCTTTCTACCTTGGATCCTCAGCTGGTAAAGAAGGAGGTTTGCCGGCTATTCAAGTCTCCCATACATCCCCCTAACCGCAATGTGTGCTTTGCTCTTATCTCTGCACTCTTTTGTCTGTGCTAGCCTGACTCGACATAAACGCCGAGCCAAAGCAGAAGGGGGGAAAAGGTTAAGGGAGTATATACACAATACAGAAGCACGAGGATATGTAAGGCGCTTTGGCGGAGTGGTTATCGCGTGGCACTAGAATCTCTTCTTCGATTCTAGAGTATTATCTGCTCGACAAAAAAAAAATGCCATTCCCTCAGGGAGCATAGGTTCAAATCCTGTAGGCGTCGGGGGTTTTTTTTTTTTTCGCGGAACATCCTAGAAACTCGAACGTACGAACGCGGCAGACTGAGGGGCATCCCCTCCAACTTTCTGGAGCAAGAGCAATCAGAAAATGGACGAGTTATGCTAAAACTCAAGTTTTTGAGATGGTGTAACTGGTCGTAATTAGGCGTCGCCTCTAATCACTTCGACACTTTGACAACACAACCCTTCACAAGACTCAACAGGGGTGCTCAGCTGACTTCAGCACACCTCAACATATCAAGATCCAACAGCTTCGACACCTTTACAGGCTTCAAGGCCCGCAAACACCACCAGCATATCGATCGGATCCATCCGACCTCAAATGACTCAAACTTGACCAAATGACATTGCGTTTTTCGCAAGTATTGCTACTTCGGCGGCGCTGGGGAGCTCAGTATAGTATTGCAGGGCAAAACCAGCATCTATATCGACACAATCCCTTCATATGACCTATCAGCACCTCTCCCAGCAGCGTTTCTGGAGACCCTGATTGTGACAACAAGCACTCCCTGCTCTTGATGCCCCGTGCACTTCACGCGTGGGCCACAAGGACGGTTCTGCTCACTCAGCATCCCTCCTCTTCTAACTTATGGCTAAATTTGGCTAAATGAATGAGGCCCTCTCCCTGGCCTCTTGTGACAAACAGCTTCTTTGTTCTCCCTCTACCGGTTGTCCTTGTTCGCTCTTCCAACGCCTTACTTGGCTAAAGATCCCTCTCTTTTGCCAAAACGAATCCATAAAGACCCACTCCTCCGGCCCTAGTCTACATCCCCCCTTCCTCAACAACACGACCCCCCAGCTACATCAACTTCCTCCAAATTACCCAACCACTATCCAATGCCACCTATCCGTTCCAACGATCATCCTCGCCACATGTCCAGCCCTGGCTCCGCTCCAGCCCTCGCTGACCAACAGGACCATTCAACTGATGCATCCGCCACTTCTTCCATTGATCAACTCCAAGTCAAAGGAGCTCTGTCATTTATCGACTCTGCCCCGGAAGACACTAGCGACCATGCTCCTGCCCCGCCTGTCGAGCAGCGAAAAGATGGCAATGATGAAGCCATGGAGGATCCTTACCTTGCCGAGCCTGACCAACAAGCTTTCCAACCCATCTTTACTGGAAGACTCATATGGTCCGCCAATTGTTCTGATAAGCCAACTGTCCCTTTTGAGGAGCTCCCCCTTCCTAGGTCTGATTGCGCCAGAGTACCTCCTTGCATGGTACATTGGCAATTCACCCGAAACTTTAATCTCAACCGAGAAGAAGACATCGCAAGAGGCTCCCTTCGACTTCAAGCCCAACAATAGATGCAATCCAATGGCATTCAGACGCTGGAATGTGTTGTCAACTTTCCTCGCGGCACCGGTCATAACAGATTTGTGGAGATCACGGTGCCTAGCGACCAATTGGTCGCTCTCAGTGAGATTTCCTTGGTCTTCAACAGGTCTAGTCTCCAACGTGTCCTTGTTGGCCCAGCCCTTCCCCGCAATGCTCTTGCCCTCGAGATCCTTGACGTTCCTCAAGCTAATGCACCAACCGCCACCGCTCGCTATGTGGCTCAATCTCTCAAAGCCTATGCTCAGGTACATGATGTTTGGGTTCGCCAGGTCTCTTACCACGACGATCCTACACCCCCGGCCGACACCAACGTCTACATTGCTCTCTTCTCCACCCCAGCTGGAGATGAAGGAGGCCTTGACCCAGTCTGACTTCACACCATTCCTGGCTACATCCGGATCCTCACTAATGACTGCAAGCTCAATTACATGGGACGACTCCAGTGGTGCCCATCCTGCAAGAGTAGGGCTAAATACTTCCACACCTTCGAAGATTGCCCCGGTCGCCTTTGCCACAAATGCCAACGCACTGGGCACATCGCTGTGGCATGCCCTCGTGCCTCTCATGATGCTGGCAATACAAACGCTGCCGCTCAGCAAGCGGAAGAAGATGGTCGTGCTGCCAACAACCTCGACTATGGCGCCTAAACATGCCCTCTTCTCAAGCTCCCTTTTTGTTGCTACTTGGAACTGTGCAACACTCAACGAACCGTCCCGCGCTGCAGCTTTACACAATCCATCCACCCCTCTCGGAAAAGCTGAAATCATTTTCATCCAGGAGATGCGACTTGCTTCTCCTCATCAACTTCCGACCACCAATCCTCTCCTCTGACTCCATCACCCCTTCGCCACTCATGGCCATCAAGCAATTCTTGGTCAAGATTGCGGCATTCTAATTCGAAACACCAAGTGGAAGATCGAGGAGACTTTCTTTCACTGCTACGCAACATACACAAAGATATGCATTCTGGATTCCGAGCCTGCTCTAGGTCAGTCCATCCGTACCCTGCGGTTGTGGAGCATCCATGCACCACCTGAAGAAGCCGAACGTCGTACCTTCTGGGAGCAGGATCAAGCGAGACTCTCAATGCTAGACGTGGCCGCAGCCAGCGACTCTTCTGCCGCTATCATAGGTGCAGATTGGAACGCAGTGGTCAATCCGATGCTTGACAATTACCCTCCCCGTCAACAACGAAGTCAACTTCCTCTTGGACAACTTGCACAAGCAGGTATGATCGATACCTTCCGTACCTTGCATCCACAGGGCTTCAGCTATACACGACATCACATTCGAAACAGTCAACTTATCTCAGCTCGCCATATTGACAGCATTTGGACATCATACAGTCTCGTACCATGTCTTCAAAGTGTCGAGACCCGCCCAAGTGGATCTGACCATAGTGTCGTCGCTGTAGGACTCTGAACCAATACATCTCAAGAAGAACTGGGACCAGGAACTTGGTGCCTGCACCGGGAAGCTCATTTACAAGCACGGCTTCCAATTACAAACGTCTCAATTTGCTGAGCAACTACAAAAGGAAGTGTCAAGACCGCCCATTGCCGTCTGGTATGCTTTTGTTGAGAGGGTCCGCACCACGTCCTCTAACGTAGCAACCACCCTCTGCCAACAAACACAACAAAAGGAACTACAACATAACACCACAGCACTGGAACTTGCTAGTATCGATATCCGACACGGTGATCGGAATCGGGCAAATTTTTTGGAGCTCTTAACAATCTTGCGCCAAATGGATTCGAGTCAAACAGATGAGGTGCTTACAAAGCGTCGAGCTCTTCACGAACTCAACATGTTCTGTCCGACGGCATGGATCATTCCAAAACTTGAAAGTCGCAGTTTTGCCACACTACCACCACTTCGCAATAGCCACGGCACCCACAACAGCTCTGAAGCGAAACTGGTGGCTATCCAGCATTTCTATACAGCTCTCTTTACACCGATGCCGCTAACTCCACTTACCAAAGAGGCTGCTTCTACACTACTCTCCTCGATCCAAGGACGAATCTCTTCCACAACCCGCCACCTTTGCGAAGCACCTTTCACCAAGGATGAACTACGCTCTGTCCTCGTCTATCACGAACCGGCCCTACGGTTGGCAATGACGACGAGGGCGAGATCGAGAGGAGAGGCAGAGGAGACTACCAGACTTTGGAAGGAGTAGATGAGAGAGTTGATTGAGAGAGTGACTTATGATCTCTTTTCCTTAAGGGAAAAGAGAAGAGAGGAAGGAAGGAGCAAACTATGAGATCGAAAGTAGAAGACTCAATGCGACGAGTCTGAGACTCTTTTGCAGTGAAATGACATATCAATGTTAGATCTATGATAAATGTGAGAAGGGTCATGACTGAGTCGTGACAGCCCCTCTAGCACCACTCCTGTCCTCCTTGAGCTATGTGTCAGGGGTCTTGCGCCTGAAACCCAGGTCGGTCTGTTGGGATACTCGGCGACTATTAAGTTGCGCGATGACAGCGGGTGGCGTTTGTGGTATGTGCTATCGCAGGTTTCGGCTGACCTCTGTGGACACTCCGTTCAGAGGTGGCTCGGCACGATCAGTATTGATACGACGTTTATGATGACACCAAGGTCTGGTGTGAGTGTTGATGATGATGAGATTGATAGCGTTGGTGGTAAGGTTGGTGGCGTCGACACGAGTGTCCAGTGTGTCGACTATCGCTTGAGGTGATCCCCAGACCGCAGTGGACAACTGCCTTTGGTTCTATCTTAATCCGGACCGCTGGTTTGCTATGTGTCATGGGCCGGAATGCTCAAGAAGCAAGAGGGTCACTGGTTCATATGGAAGGAGCACAGGTATCGGAGATCTAGTCGATACCAGTAGAGAGCATGGTCGTAGTGCAGTCTCCATGGAGACCATGGACTCCTACGGACTCACATGCGAAGAAGGACCGGGTCCATAAGCGAGGAGAGCCAGGCGCAGCCACGAAGAGGACCAAGCTCAAGGAGCATTCAGATGGTTACCATTCAGGGGCTCGAGAGATAAGAGTCAAAGGAACCATCACCGGTCGAAGGAGGAGGAGCAGTGTATAGGAGACCGGCAAGCAAGTCCTGAGGAGGAGGAGCAGTGTCGAAGGAGGCGACACAACTCAGGAGGACAGGAGTGGCGCTAGAGGGCCCCCCTGCGCAGTACTCGATGAAGAAGGTACTCTCTGGAGAGAGAGCAGGAGCAGTGTTGCTGGCGACGCTGTAAAGAGGTATATAACCATACCTTCTCGTCATCAGAGGTCGAGTGGATCCTCATCTACTCTACTCACCATATAACTAGTTATCACTTCAAGCATAAGTATACATTAGTTACAGTCAGCACAGTTGCAATCTATCAGGTTGCTTCTCCTTGTAGCGCGTGTGTTGTATCACCGCTCACTGACATCCGAAGGCGGTTCGTAGCAAACCAGCAGTCCGGATATAGATAGAACCGAAGGCAGTAGTCCACTGCGGTCCGGGGATCACCTCAAGCAATAGTTATCACGAACCGGCCCTACGGTTGGCAATGACGATGAGGGCGAGATCGAGAGGAGAGGCAGAGGAGACTACCAGACTTTGGAAGGAGTAGATGAGAGAGTTGATTGAGAGAGTGACTTATGATCTCTTTTCCTGAAGGGAAAAGAG